GATACGGATATAGACACGATGGAGATACAAAAATAAATCATGTAGATTTTATCTGTTAATTTATGTCCACAAACAACCAAATGAAAAACTAACACAAATTCAATATGAAAGAACCATTCAATCTATAATTTAGACGTCTTTCAATTACAAAATACTATTTTATCAAATGCAAACCATTACATCACAGTTATCCAAAACATTTATGTTCAATAATGAATAGACCATTTATAAAAAATACATATATCCCCAATATATTTTTCTTAGGAAGTAATGATACGGTCTAAATATTTATCAAGTCTACACAAAATATTCTACATAATCAATGTAAATAAAAGCAGATAATAGAAACAATAGCACAATGAGAGGGACAGCTGATTTTTTCAAGGAGATATACGTTGATCACCAAACCCACCTTTCTAAAACTATAATAAAGCCCCAAACATGTCTTATGGCATGTCCAGACACGTGTATTCTTGATGTATCCCCCAACGTGGTCCAATAAGAAAATAGAAAAAATTGACACATCATGTGACGTGCTCGGCATGGTGTCCTGTTGTATCCAAGGCATGCTATTTTTTAACATGTGTCGAACACAAATATGACAACTACAATGGAGTGTCCGCGCCTTGTAGGTAATATGTCATGCCAACAATCTTGCATTTGCATAGATAACAACGGCTATTTTGAAATTCATGTTTCCCTCGACTTCTTATTTCTTTCCTTAGTTTGTTATTGGTTTATTGTTATATATCTGTCAACTACTTGTGAAACGAGATCTCACTTCACCTTAGTACTAAAGTAATAGGCCTGTTTGGTAGAGTTTATAAACTGCTTATTTTAGCTTTTAGTTTAATTTAAGCTAAAATATTATGTTTGGTACAGTTTAAGTTAACTAACTTATAGTTTAAATCAAGTTATTTCTCAACTTATCTCAAAAGCTGGTCAGGGAGTGCTTAAATTTTTTACTTAAGTGCAGAGCTGGTGTGGGGGGTTTGTTGATTTATTTTAAAATATGCATAGACTTGCAAAGGAAAGAAGAATGAATAGCAAAGAGATTGACAAATTATGATATTCTTCGAGTGCTACTATCAATATCCGTAAAAAAGAGAACGTTTTTTTTTCTTGGTTGCTTACATTTTTGCTTGATGCATTAAAGACGAAGGGCTTTCAAATTTTGACTTTTCTAGGGATTGTAATGTTTATATCCATAAATGGGGGTCATAGATATACAAACACCACATATCTATATGTATATCTTATGTGACAAAAGAGGAAGAAGAATTCGCAGATATCAAAACTTAAGAATTTAGTTTTATTAAAAGATACGATTTTTGTACAAAAACTAATTATTATGAGATTCAGAATGCTTGTCAAAATCTAGTTCAATATAATCTGAAATCTGATACAATGTGAAACGGCGAAAACAATACACCTTATGTTCCCCTAAAACTGAGTGGGGTGAAATCCATGAATTAGACGATGATTCAAAAACAGTTTGTGGTAATACAGTGGTGAATCATGAATATTATTCTTGAAAAAGTGATTTATCAAATGGTTAAAGCTTTTTTAAAAATTTCACTTGTTTTGATATTCCATCAAATAATCCCATGATTATGATGGTCCGCATCCACTTGTACATTGACAATTAGGAATTAGTAACCAGAATTTGGTAAATGTGAATCTGGTAGATGTTAGCAACGTCAGGATTCATTCTTGGACACTCATTTTTCTAGAAAAAGTTTGCCACTAATACCAAGTTCGTTTGTATGCACACTAGCTAAGTTTATGTAGATGAGAAATGAGTGCAAATATATGAATACAACAATGTTAGGTATCATGAAAAAATTTTCATGAAAATAATCATGAAAACTTTGTGACCCTTGAATTACACTTATGGCGTGTTTGGTTGGGGGATTTGGAGATGGATTTGGAAAGGGAAATGGAAAAGGTAGGTGAAATGTGAATAAAACATA